ATGCTTTCCATTCTTTAAGAGATAATTACTTTTTGGATCACTAATATGCACAGTTTCCAGTATCATTTTGACCTAGTACTTATGACAGAACTTCCTCACGCATCTTCCCATCAGAGATTACATACATTTGTTCTCAGCCTCACAAACTTGCTGGTACACAAGGTACAAATCCTGTTCTTTCAATCAAGCAATGTAAATAGGAGTCCCACCTAAGAACAGACAAGTATTTCACACATAGACACATACACACACATAGAACAACAACAAAAAAAAATAATTCTACCTTAATTCTAACTTAAGCAGTTTCCTTCATTTTTTGAATGCCCCTTAACAGGATGAGCTGAACAAATGTCAAATAATTAAATAAATAAACACATAAAAATTAAATGGATTTCTATTGTTGGCTTATTTAAAATAGAAATTTATGTCTTGTGTAACTACTACCAGATTTTTTTCCACTTCATTATTTAAGGGTAGGAATTGTAATTTTATGTACATGTAATATATGTCAATATATGTTATGGTAACCACTCAGAAAATACAGAGACTACATCATAGTGTTAACGTTCAATGATATGCATATAATAAATTTTCAACACAGGAGTCAATACAAAAAAAAAATTGTCCTGAAATTAAAGAATGCAGCAATTACTTTAGAAAATTTACTTGCCCATAATACAGAGCATTCCAAACAACAAAGGATTTTCCCTATTGTTACCAAATGATATAGTGACAGACTTGCAGACTGTTTTTGTTGTTGTTGTTTGATATTGGAGGAGAGGGAGGGCACAGTAAAATAAGCATACAACACACAACAAACCTCCAGCAGTAGTGCTTGTTTACAGAAGGAAGTCAGACTGCAGTGGGACACATCTAGCAAACAGCTATGCTAGAACAGTCCTGAAAGTGCAGATCCAAAGCATAGTACCATCTAACTGGCATGGAAAACACCTATCCTCTTACTAGCAAACATTTGTAACATAAGGATCTAGAGGATCTTATGCTGACACTCTAATAAGCTGCCCCTTGTCACATGAGACATTGTACTTCAAAGATATAAACCCTAATATTACATCCCACATCCCCAGATTAGATCCATAGCCCTTAGGAAAGGAAATTAACATGAAGCTTCCCACAGCCAAGCTCCATAGATCTCCTACTATGAGCATCAGCAGGTAGATTTTACCTAGCCATTGTTGAAGATGCAGCTTCTTACAGCCCTTCCTATCTATCAGATCTTTCTGACATACAAGATGAAACAGAAAACAAATGCTTGCTTTCACCCAGCTAGACACAAGCCCCCCTAGTACTCCTGCTTTTTTGTTTTTCCTGAAATGAGAGAAGTAACACATTTCTCCCCACTTTCTACAAAAACAAGTATTGCCTGTCTTTTCACTTTTGCAGTGAAGCAAACCTGGCCTTAAGGAGAAATCACCAAGTGAGATTCTTTTCACCCCTGCAGGGTGCCATCAGTGTTTTGCAGAATGACCTGGGGTTTTAACACTTCTTTCCTCTCCCTTCCCACCCCAAACAACTTAATTTTGGTGAGACTTCTCATGTTTCTTGGTTTGACCCACGTACAGCTTGAAGTTAAGATAGTTTTTCAGCTCAAAGCAAAAAGTACAACAGGGAATTGAGGTAAACTGAATTTTCTTTTTTGTTTTGAGTGATGGCTGAAAGGTTTTCCTTAACTAGAAAAGAAGGATAGGAAAAAAAAAAATAATAACAATAATAAAAAAAAAAAGCTTGCATTACCAATATTCAAAGACAAAGCATAGCATACTACAACATACTGATGTCAAAACAAAACGGCTAACTTCAGCCAGGCAAACTAAGATGAATGGCTGAAACTCATCAAGCACCTGTTTACTAATTTTAAGTTTACTTAGTCACAAGACAGTGAGTTGTTTCTTTCATCCAAGTCCTACAGTAAGAATGTATGAGTAACAGCATTAATTCTTAATGAAACATTTCATCTTACTGTATAGCATATTTCCTCATTATTGACTCTTGCTGCTAGTGCTAGTAACAATTTCAACCTAACAGACCCATTTGGGTAAGTTGTGACACTACCATTCTCTCTCATTCACTTTTATCCAGAAAAAAATATTCTCACTATGAGCATACTGGAGCTATTTAAAAGCCAATCGAGAATAATCAGCAAGTAAAATCATTGTTCTTATTGTCTATTAACAAAAGCTATCAGAAAAAGCTGATTTGGGTGAAATAAGAACAGCTGGAAAGAAAACAACAGATGGACAGAGGCATGGGTAGGAAGTCTATTTTCATTGATACTTTCTGTGCGGTCTATTTGGAAAGCAGTTAAACTTGTTGGGAAAGTTGCAGCTTGATATTGAACAAAAGGGAAAGAAATTTGCAAAGTGCTCCTGTTTTTTGAAAGACTTATTTACTGAAGCAGATAGCAATATGCAGAGCTAGAATGAATATGCAGGGCTAGCATGAAGGAAGGAGAGAACAATCTGTTGTGGCATCTTTTAAAATTAAGGATTATATTTACAGTATGAATTATATTTGTCGAGACTTAATTAGGTCAGCATTGTGTGTTAACTATGAGGTATTTGATCATTCTCAAGATAAATCCTGAGGTTCAAAACTACTATGCGGGTTCAGAAGCTTGTTGCTAAGAGGTTTCTATCTATGATAGATGCAACCAATACTGCATAGGTAAATGAAGCAGGTGATACAATGATGGTCCAGAACTTTAGTAATAAACATGAAGAATGGTATGTGCTGCTCTGAGTCAATTCCCTGGACTTGAGTCCCAACTTCCAAATCAGAAATATTATATGTGCATGAAAAAAGCTGGGTATCCCAACAAGGCAGCTGCTTAGGAAGGTTAGTACAGTTATTTAATACATAATGCTGAACACAGGCATTACTTGAATATATTTTTCTTCTCTGGACATTTGTGCCTGATTCCAGAGTTGCTTTCTGCCCCACTCAAGATCAGAGTCTGCTCCTCCTCTGCTCCTGGAATGCAACTTTCCCCTTTCATTAATATATATATATATATATATATATATATATATATATTTTTTTTTTTTTTTTTCTCTGTAGAAAAAGTAGTGGAGGAGGATAGTGATTTGAACATTTAACCAAACCAGGAATCTTGATCATCCCAGTTAGCAGGTTCACAGCCTCTGCTACCACAATTGTTCACATCTAGCTGGATAAACATACAACTAAGCCTTTCTTCAGCCTTGTCAACACTGAGTTGCTATACAGATATTAGTGCAAGAGTCACAGACAGAGAGTAAAGCATGTGGCCTTCTGGAGTTGCTTCCGGTCCCTATTTCCACCACAATTTTTCTTCTTGTTTTAAAATCTAATGAATGATTTAATAGCAAAGCTGAGAAAAGCCCTCACTACATACGCAAGCTTGTCAGTGCTTTAGGCAAAGATTATTTACCTTCAACCATATTTGGGATTATCCTGGTCTGGATTGCAAGGTGGTATCATGTGGTCATCATAGAAATAGCTTTGTAAATGTTTCCATATTTGGACTCCATCCAAACAATTACCAAAATTTTAGCTGATCTAGCAAAATAAAGGTGAAATGCATCCTCCTGTGCACATCTGGATAATATTAACTGTTTCTTTAAATCACAATCTTAGAGCACTAGCCTGGATAGCTTGAAGAACTGAAAGATAACCAGTTTGCAATAAAAAATTCTTTTGGGCTGTGTCCTCTTTGATACATTGGTCTATGGCAAACTGAAATATAATTTCCAAATTAATTAGAAGTTTTTCCTCATTTTTATGTGTGTGAATAAGCCAGATCACTAATTTAAGGGATATAAAAGACCCATTTTCTGGGTAAGAAGGAAGAAAGATTGGAGTGATGATATACTAGTGGACCTGACCTTGGAATTTCTTATATATGACTGTCTCTAGAGATTATTCTGAAGGTAATATGAAAGGAGTGGAAGAAAAAAATGAACCAGTATTTCACTCTTAGATTAGAAACAGACAACAGGAGAATTACTAGGATGTCCAAGATGTTGGTAAACTCAGGTAATATCTTTAAACAACTGCTTTTAACAATGAGATGCTGACAATAAAACATCAAGTCTAATGCATTTGAAAAATGTGCCTCCAGAAAGGATTTCACTGTGAGCCGAAGGCAGTCAAGTGACAAAGTATTCTCTGGAGTTTTCATATCAGAGAGCAGTTGAATGGACAAAGATATAAACTGGGTATTGGAGCAGATAAGAGACTCAGCTGCTTGGTAAGAAAAGCAGCAAACATGAAAAGTGAGTGTCCCACACACAGTCCCCAGTTCCTGAGATTTTCCATAAGCTCTTGAGCACCATAACACACTTCGTATTTGGGCTAGTCATATACTGCTTCAAGAATGAGATGATTTTTGATTTATTTTTTTTTTAACTGCATAACTGGAGAAAAATGGGTGTAAACAAAACTGAGAAGTGGGGAAAATGTAATTTGAACTGGATGAAAGGGGAAAATAAGTTGTTCAGAGCAAAAAAAAAAACATTTGGGGTGCAGCAAAGGATGGTTCAGTACGTACCAAGTCTACATGACAAGCCCTTTCACAGTATGGCTGTGTTACACCTGTTGTGGGCTGGCTGAAGATGAGCTTGCAGATTTACTCTCACTAACTTTCCTCATCTTGTAGTTTGGTGTTTAATACTACATTTCTTCTTTGCTTATTGTCCTGGTTTCAGTTAGCACAGAATTAATTTTCTTCCTAGTAGCTGGTGGAATGCTGTGTTTTGGCTTAGGATGAGAAGAGTGCTGATAACACCCCGATGCTTTAATTGTTGCAGAGCAGTGCTTATACTAAGCCAAGGACATCTCAGCCTTTTGCTCTGTCCTGCCAACGGGCAGGCTGGGGGTGCAGTAAGAGCTGGGAGGGGACAGACCCAGGACAGGTGACCCAAACTAGCCAAAGGGGTATTCCATACCATCTGACGTCATGCTAAACAATATATAGGGGTGGCTAGCCGGGGGGAGGGGGCCGGACTGCTCGGGGTTAGGCTGGGCATCGGTCAGCGAGTGGTGAGCAATTGCATTATGCATCACTTGTTTGTACATACTATTATTACTTTCCTATTATCACCATTGTATTATTATTGTTATTATTTTATTATTATTTTGTTATTATTATTTTCCTGTCTTATTAAACTGTCTTTATCTCAACTCACGGGCTTCACTTTCCATTTCTCTCCCCCGTCCCAGAGAGGGAGGGGGGAGGGTGAGCGAACGGCTGCGTGGTGTTTAGCTGCCGGCCGGGTTAAACCACGACACTTATGAAAAACGCTGAGGACAAGCCAAGAACTGAGATTTTTCTTAGCCCACATTTATGTGGGCACCTTTGATCCAGTAACATCAGTCTGGTTGCAACTATATGCTGTCACAGATTCTGCATGTGACAGGGAGCCCTGTTATCCAGCTACAGGAAGACGCTGTGATGTTTGAGATGGAGGATACATATTAGGAGGTATGGCAACAGCCAGGCCAGTCCTATCTGTAATGTTCTGTAATTCAGGGATATATTTTTAGACCTTGGTGTGTCCTTGCCTTACCAAGTACTTGAGTATGCTTCTGGGAGCCATGGATGCAAAGCAGGTGACTTATGACAGTCTCAAGTTTATGTCTGAAAAGCAAAGCAAATGGGGCTGAAAATGCAGTAAGGCATGTGCCCATGTTCCTTCCTTAATATCACAGAAATCCAGCCACAGCAGGATGGCTGAGAGTCCAACCTATAAGCCCCATAATCTTACTTTGATGCTAGCCTTACCTTGAGCTGAAGCTAAGCATTTTGATCTCTCCTTTTGGCCTAAACTTTTCTATCATTCTATGCCCCTGTGATTATGTGGATGGTTCATCACTAGGTTATTGCCGGGACTTGATCCTTGTGGGTCCCATCCAACTCAGGATATTCTATGATTCTATGATTGCCTCCACTGTGTCACAAAAAAAATTGGTATAATAATGATTTTTTGTCACCTGATGGATTCCATAATATGGTCAATATTATCTGAAATCAGATTGAATAAACTCCCCCATATGTGTGCTCCAAATGATGTAAGTGATGGACTGCAATGTGAAAGTGTCAGAACTCACGAGAGAAACAACAGTGCAGAGAGGAGTTTCTAGCAGATGTCACTTCAAGGGGAGCCACTGGACTCCAAAACAACGGGAAATAAATTATTACACAAGCCAGCCAAATACACACGACATGTTGATTAAAGAGACATTATCTAGCATTACAATCGATACTGTCTGTGAATTGAATCCAATATGAAGATTAACTTCAGTTTCCTGTCAGTGGGAAATTAACATTGCAGGAACTTAATATAAACATATGAATGGCAGATGAAAGCAACAGAACTTTCCACAGTGCTGTTTAAGGTCAGCCATTTTTCAAGTTTTTTTTTTGGTTTTAGCACTGTGCTTCCCCTACCATCTCCATTAACTATTTGCTAAAAGATTTCATTGTTTTTTCCTCAAGAGCTTTCCTTGAAAATCTAGACATTCATTCTTGGCTGGCTGTAATTGTGCTTCCCAATGTTTGTTTAAAGTTTCAGTTGTTTTCTTTTGCTCTAGTATTTTGTCTTTCATTTAAAATTAGTTAAGACTAATGTGCCTTAAAAAATAACATGCTGGCTGCATAGTTTTCTCTCTGGTCATTTCTTAGGTTCTGGGATGTTTGATTGTTGGGTTTGGTTATTTTTTTTCCTTATCTTATGTTTGGATTATTATTTTTAAACACAATGAGGAAAAATATCAGAGCTGTTTCGATTGCAAGCATAAATCATTAGCACAACTATTTTGTACCTTGGTAACCTTTCTGTTTCAAATGACCCTCCAGGAAATAAAATAAAATAAATAAAATAAATTTAATTTAATTTAATTTAATTTAAACAAACAAACAAAAACCACAAAACCACAAGAGCAATCAGACAATACAGGATCAGTTATGAGGATGTACAGACCTGAGAAGAATCAGGTCTATGTGCTGAACAGGTGTAATTGCGCTACTGTGATTTAGAGTGTTCAGAGTTTATTTCCATGTCTAAGCTTCAGTACTAACTTTGGCAGGAAAAAAATTTATTTCAGTCTTTGGCCCATTTACTTGTGCTACTGTTGATATGCAGAAATAATAACAGAAAAATAACAATTTTGACTATTGTGTAGTTTTTAAAATAGTTAGGGGGTAAATGCAGCCATGTGTGAATGATGTAAGCTCATTATATGACAGTGTGGAAGTGAAAAACCTTGGTTATACTTGTTCATTGAATGTTTTTTTTTTTTTAAGCTTATTTAGATATTTCTTATTTTAAGTAAAACTGATACACACTCACAGCTATATGTGGCTATATATCCACATATTTATGTGGAACAGATAGACTGGCAGTTGTCTGGGGCAGCAGACTGCCATATGCATAAAGATATGCATAACCTGAGCAAGAGCAAGGGAAGCCCAGGGCTGGTCCTAGCTCCAAAGGCAGGGTGGGGGCATGTGGGATGGTGCCTGCTGCTGCAGGACTGTTTGACTACACCCGAGTCTGTTCTCGCTTCCCTTGGCTAACATCTGGTCCCCAGAGCTGCACTCTTCTTGCAGCAGAAAGCTGAGCCAGGGACCTCAGTGAAGCCTGGTGTGCTCCCTGGCACAGCTCCGTACGTCCACTTACGGAGCTGGCAGCTACATGAAAGTCTGTTGCCTCGGTGCCTTTAACAGCTGTATTGCCTTGCAGATTGAGCTGGATGGTCGTGGCCTTAATGTCCTCCCACAATTTTATTTCTTTTGCAAGTTCTGACATTTTAAAATTATACTCATTCTTTTGGAGAACACATATGGAGGGAAATTTAACAAAATGTATTTGCAGTCATACAGACCATAAAGGCATTCCCAATAAGGAAGCAAGCTTCACATTTTAAGCTTTCATTTTATAGCAGTTGTGACCACAACCTAGTGACTAGGCACTTCAAATAACATCCTAGCTCTCTCCTTCCTTCCTGCCTGTGTCTTTTCTTCCCAAGTCAGTACTTGCCCAGCCACAACCCAAACTAGAAACTTCATTTGAGGGAGATGGAAAATTCAGTTTGCCTACATTTCTGAGAAGTCTTGTGCCACCCCTGAATTCATCATCCCAACATACCTCTTAGTGAAAGAGGCAAATGATAAACCATGTAAAATGGGTCCTATGTTATGAATGAACCACCATCACAGTACTCTACAGGATGCTTGCTCCCAACACGCACATTTGAGCTTCAGTGTCGTGCATCCTGGTGCACTCACACAAACCCCAGTTCATCTTGTCACGCTGGCATACAAGTACCCAAAACTTCATGACACAGCAGACTGACAGGTGTCTAAGGCACAAAACTGACATTCAAAAAAAAAAAAAAAAAAAAAAAAGTGGCACTGCAAATATTGGGAGTGAGTTGGAAGCTTCTGGGAAAGACTGGCAAGTAGGTAATATTTTCCCATATCCCCTTGCCAAATAAACTACAGATCAATTTTCTTGTACTTCAAGTTGAAACTGCAAGGACACTTTGGAGGGAAAAGTGGAAAAAACATCCAGCAAGTTCACACAGTTGGGGCAGTCTTCCTTTCCATGGATTGACCCCCTCCTGAAGGCTTTTCTTTCAACAGACCTGCTTGTCTTGCCCCAGCACTGTCACCCTCTCCCTGGTGGGAGTCACAAGGGACACTTCACCATTTTCCAGGGACATTGAGCCAACCCATCTTCCTCTATCCCTTACCCCAAAGACCGCAGCTCCAGCCAGCACCCTCCAACCAGGTCTTATACTTTGTACAACAGTTGCCAAAGAAGCAAGGGATTAAGGCTTCCTGTATCAGCTACTCCAAGAGGAAGAGGAATGGACAATGTGCCCAACATTGTACAGAGTTGACGGAAAGCAATGCAGGTACCACTGAGGGTTTTGGAAGAGTGGTTTACGATCCTGTGGTATTTTTGCATACACCAGCTGTTGCACTGACTATGGTATCAATATCAGCAACACAGAAAAAAAACAAATGGGGACCAAGACAGTCACTAAAAGGATGTTACTAGGGGGCTTATTAGTGGTCATGCATGAGACATCAGGCATGTCAGAGTGAGGATACAGCGGGGCTGGCTAGGAGAAGGGGCTGTGAGTCGTGTACAGAGGAACCCCAGCATGGCACCTTAGGTGTCTGCCCCACAGCTCAACCTACCCATGCAGACCCAAAAAGTTGGGGTTAGCCTTCGTGGTGGCAGAACCTGATAAAAAGAAGAGTGAAAACAAATGTAAGAAAATTTTCTAGCTAGTTGGTGTTCTAAACACCAGTAGATTGTTCAGAGAAAGGTAGGAGAGCTCAAAGGCACAATGAAATCTTTACCTACTTAAATTTCTTTCATATCGCACCTCCCCTCCCCCACACACACCTTCCCCCCCTTCCAAAACAAACAAACAAACAAAACAAACAAACAAAAAATTAAGGTTAAGGCTTAATTTGGACAGGAACTCTTTATTTTACTTTTGAAGTGAATGACTTTTCCTCCTTTTGTTCCCTGCACTCCCTTTAGCCCTGCAGTTCCCTGTCCCTTTAGGCACTGACTAAGCCTCAAATGCAGGGAATCTCATACAAAAGATGTGAGTGAAAAGAACAACAGATAAGGGCTAAAGGCTTTTACATGAGTTATTCTTTATGATGTTGGTCTGTCATGTGTTGTAAAGTCAGCTGCATTCCATTGTCATCTGGATATATTCCAGTGAAATGCAAGTTGTCACAATAAATAGAATGACTGGGCTTTTCTGGTCACTTTCTCTTAGGATGTTTCATGCAGTTGTTTCTTGGTGTGTTCAGTTTCAGGTATGTGTAGGAAAATTTACCTTGCTTATCCCAAAGTGATATAACTCACTGCTATCAAGAAGCGAGATATGATACAGGAGAGTCACTGGGAAAGTTTCAGCTTTCTGAACTGGTACTAACTAACTGACTGCACCTGTGAAGCTGAGAGGCAGGGCAGGCTTGTCACTTTCAGAGAAGGCAAAATGTTTGGATC